TAGGTATAAAACATGTAATTAATCAGATAATTAGGCCAATTACTAATAGTTGAGCGACCGTGCTAAAACCACGGAACCCGGAAATGCCTAACATCTTCTCCCGGGTTAACAAATTCCTTACCCGGATTTTTGTGTTCCCAGACCATAAATAAGAGTCAAACTTCCTCGATTCGGGATTTTAAACCTGTGACTTGGGACACCATAAATTATCCCAAGTGGCAACTCTGAATTTGATATAAATAATCCCATTTTGATTTTGTCACTTTAATTGAAAAAACTCTCTTATACCCCTTCCCGGGTAGAAAAAGGAGGTGTGACAATGACATCATAAAGCTTATGAATTTAACTTCTCAAAACGACTCGTTACAAGGCAAATCTTAACTCGATTTTTTCGTAAGTTAAATCCTTTCCCAAACTTTATAGTTTATGTCCAAACATCATATATAGTCATATTATGACTTTATACTCATTCAATCATGATTAACAAGTCTCATATTCATTATACGCCACCTTAGGACGCACAGGGTGTAACACCTAACTTGACGACTTTCAACATAACTTATCTTCTTAAATTAGTTTAGCTTCTAAGCCTTCCAACCATATTGATACTTGTTATTCATGATCTTAAATATTATTAACTTCAACGGTAACATGATTAACTTACTTTATAAGTTTCTCAAAGATGATTTTATTTCTGAGCTTACATCAATTGACTTATGACGTACTCTTAATTATGAAAATAGGGGTGTAACAAAACTCAAGGTTGATGGCACAGTTGAGAGATATAAGGCTCGACTGGTAGCGAAAGGGTATACACAGTAGAAAGGAATTGACTACAAAGAGACTTTCTCGCATGTTGTATGATTTACCTCTGTTCTCCTAGTTCTAGATATTGTTGCAAGCTTGGATCTAGAATTACATCAAATGGATGTAAAGACTGCCTTTCTCAATGGAGAACTAGATGAAGAAATATATATAGAACAGCCTGAGTATTTCATTGGAAAGGGCCACGAATAAAAGGTTTGTAGACTTTTGAAGTTTATTTATGGCCTCGAACAATCTTCAAGGCAGTGGTATATACACTTTCAGAATGTTCTTGTATCCAATGATTTTACCATGATGGATGAAGACGTTGCATTTATACCAAACGATCAAGGAATAAGCTTGTGATTTTAACATTATATGTATATGACATACTTATAGCTGGAAATGATAAAGAGTTTGTCACCAAGATAAAGTCATGGTTGTCATCTCAATTTGAGATGAAAGACATGGGTGAAACTGCATGTATTCTTGGAGTTAAGATTTCAAAAGATCGTCCAAAGAAACTATTATATCTCTCACAAGAGAATTACATTAGAAAAGTTCTTGAATAATTCAATATGCAAAACAGTAGCCCAGTTAATACTCCTATCAGTAAAGGCCATGCCTTGGGAAGTCAGATATGTCCTAAGACTCCTGAAGAGACAGAAAGAATGAGCCCAGTTCCTTATAGAAGCGTAGTCAGAAGTCTAATGTATGTTATGGTATGCACTAGACCTCATATTTGTCAAGCAGTTGGCTTGGTAAGTAGATATCAAACCGACCCAGGTTTAGCACATTGGCAAGCAGTAAAGAGGATCATGAGATATCTGAAGAGAATTGCAGATTATGCGCTTTGTTATCAAGGAGGCAAAGATCTGCAATTAGTTGGATATAGTGTTGTTGATCATGAAAGAGATCTAGACGAAAGGAAGTCTACCTCAGGATATGTGTTCTTACTTAGTGATGGAGCCATATCATGGAGTAGTAGTAAACAATAATGTGTATCACTATCTGCGATGGAAGCCGAATACGTGGCTCTCGCATCAGCAGCACAAGAAGTTGTTTGGTTGAAAAAGTTCTTGGAGCACTTGTTGGATATCGTTGAAAATACTGAACCAGTATTAGTCTACTATGACAGTGAGGCTGCAATATCCTCCACCAAGGACCCTAAGTTTCATTGTAAAACCAAATATATAGATATCAAGTATAACTATGAGAGAGACATGGTTAGACGCAAGGTAGTGAATGTGAAGTATATGTCTACAAAAGATTTATTAGCAGATCCATTGACCGAGCCTTTCTCTAGAGAGCATTTGTGAGACACATTAGGTCTCAAGGCTTGCATAGACTTTGATATTCTTTATTTTGTTATTCATTTTTCCCTGTTCAAAAAACTGATGTTCTTGATTATCAATTAAGTTGATTTACATATATACATATTTATATTGTTGAATGTTATGTGCATTCTTTATTCACTTCTTATAAGTATGTTGGGTAGACAAGAGGTTGGCCTTCTCACATAAACAACCGCCTCCTAATCTTAGTGATGTGAAGAGATGAGACATGATTTTAAGCAAAATTATCATAAGGATAATTTGAGAGCTATTCGCTTAAAATTAAAATGTCGCTTAAACAATGACATAAGGTCATTAGGGTGAAAAATATTCACTTAGTCTATTTTGTGACACAAATGTGAGTTAAATATGATTTTGTAGATCAATGAACTCAAATTTAGATACTTATAGTTTCTAAATATCATCTGGATAACATTCTTTATAAGATAAAGACATACGCTCCTTGAGAAAAAGGAGGAAATGTTGTATCATGTGTTTCATACCATGTGTGCTAATATCGATCAATTGGGTTAATATAAGTCTATTCTCAACTTATTGTTATGTGAGACCTAGAGCTTTTATGATGGCTCAAGATTTTGTACCCTCGGAGATTCTGATCAGATACTTGAGACTTAGTGTGATGTTATGTATCTTAATGTGTTTCCAAAAGACCATGTTCACGGATTCGGTCTAGCGGAGCATATCTAGAAAAGCAATCATCCTAATGTTAAGAGGATCGTGAGAAGAGGAAGATCATTGGTGGAATCTCATTTATTTGTGTTCACCTGTGCACCAAATATAACCTATGAGTTATGATTGTATCAAGAAATAATGATATATGAGATTTTGAGACTATATCACATGTGATTTATATGATCTAGGGTACTACGTACTTTATGATCTACTTGCAAGTTTGCACTCGACGAGAGGCTATATACTCCTAACAGATGTATAGCACTTAGCTCTCACAATATGTTGGTCGCACGGACTACTTCCCTATATGAATGATTGAGGAGATGGGATGGGAATAGGTTTTTCATACAAAATGAGCACTCCCATTATGTGTGAGTGAGATGTAGGAAATAGAGTCCACCCATAAGAGGTGCTCCTAGGCCCACTAGGGCAAAACACAGTAATTTTAATAATTACTGTAACCCTAGTATTCCCTATATAAGTATATATACAATGTACAACTAAGAGATATAGATATGCAGTATTTTCCTACGCCTAGTTTTCTCTTAAAATCAGACTAGGGTGACAACCACCACTGACTAGTGACTCCAGCTGTGATTTCTTTCAGATTTTCGTTTCCGCTTCACGAAGAACAAGTAAGTTCTCGTTTTACGATTTATGCGCGAATTACTTCAATCTGCATTATGTACCTGCAAATATCAGGAAAGTGAAAGCGAAGAAGAAGGCCTTGATAAAGTGGATGATGATAATGACGAAGAACATGAGCCAGGTGATAATGATGAATTTGTTGATTTCTTCCATTTTACAACTGTCTGATCTGGAATTACTTTTGCCTGTGTATGATAGTTTTCAACCTTCTCTATGCGAGTAAACCACTTGTTGACCACAGCAGGTGCTGCACAGCATAAGAAGGCAGAAAATCTCAACGAGGAGATGGATAAGAAAGATGATAACAGAGCGACATCAGTCCAATGGTGTTGACATTGGAAACGGGGCCATTGACGGGCAGAGGACGCACCTAGTGTTGATGTGAAGGAGAAGATTAAGAAAGTGGCATCCATGAAGAAGAAAAGGTCAAGCAAGGAGGTAGATGCTGCTGCCAAGGCAGTATATCTTGTCTGTATTTTTATGAAATTTTTACTCATTTCAAATAAGGAACGTGCATGTTTGTTTAAAAAGAGCTAGTAATCATGGTTAACTTTGTTCCCTCTCTTTCCCCCCTCCACTATTCCAATATCTTTCAGCTTGCAAGAACTCGCATAAACTCAATATTTTCCTAGTTTCAACGTTCATGATCTCTATTCACCCGCTCAAAGTTCTATTAGTGGGAATTCTCTTAAGCTAACCCCGTAATTCTCTTGGCGTGCCATCTTTTGTTCCTAGTTCCCCGTCCAAATCCTAGGGAACTATTTCGTTTTCTCTCTGATCCCTTATTTCTTTCCTCTGAATGTGAGAAATACCAAGGATTCGGTTACATATATGGGTTTAATTCATTGGGTTAAACAACCAGGCCTATAACTTTGGGGCCGTTATATGTACTACTTTGAGGACTCTGATGCTAGAAGCTACGCATATTGATGTTAGTGATCCCATGAAGTATCGCCAATCTGACTAATTTATATCCGTTTGTGTGAAACAAACAACTGTATTAACCTGAATATTATGTTACTTATGGAGTTGGCATGAGGTTTCTGCGTTTATAAATCCAGTTCCAGTGCACGGCGAGTATAATTCATTTTCTTAGTTTCAAGTTGATGTGATTTGAATTACTAGGCCTTGCCTTTGCTATGGCTTCTTGTTTTCTTGCAATAGAAATTTTTCGACTGGTCTCCATGAGGTGTAAATAAAAGATTGCAGGTTGGACTTTGTGACTACTAATGTGTTTTCAAGGAGAATAGTTGCATAGGTTATGTCAACCTACCTTTCTAAAGTAGGAAAAAATACCAATTGAACTTTTCTAAAATAGGCAAGACAAAACATCAGTGAATAAAAGTAGAGATGTTTTAAAGATGTCTTTCCTTGTTTAGAAAGAGAGGGAAGGGAGTGGTTATCAAACTTAAAAGAACCCAAAGATGGTGCGGATAAACAACAATTACAAGGCTGGCGTTTGCAAAATAAACAACAGATATAAGTCACCAGTAATACTTTGTGCCTTAAAATTGGTATTCTAAACTTGGAATAGCTAGTTTTACTTAATTTCTACTTACTCCTCACCTACTAAATATCTGGAAAACTCCTCATAGTCTTTAACTTGGATGTTTTCTTGGGCATAGTTTTGGGATATTTTAGTGTCTCCTACCAAGATCTCATGAACTGCTAAGACCGGCCAGCTCATATCATGGCTCCAATGGTTGAAGAACTCCAATTTCCTCATCTTGAAATACCTCTAACTGTTAATTCTATATCTCCAATATTACCTGCAAATCCCATCCCCGCATCCCATGGTGATAGCCTTTACCTATCAAATCTAGATGATATGATCGGAGCTCGCGTTTTTACTCCAACTATGTACTTCTATCGCGATGCAGGGAAACCGGCTGTCATCAAAGTATTAAAAGAAGCTCTTGCAAGTGTACTGGTGCCATATTATCCATTCTCTGGTAGGCTACGAGAAACAGAAAATGGTAAGTTGGAGGTGTTTTTTGGACCTAACCAAGGCGTTCTCCTAGTTGAGGCACGTTCAGAAATGACGCTAGCCAATCTTGGAGATTTAAGTGTGCCAAATCCAGCATGGACAAACTTGGTTTACAGCTTTCCAAATGAAGAACAATACAAAGTGATTGATATGCCATTGCTAATAGCACAAGTGACAAGATTCAGGTGTGGTGGATTTAGCCTGGGATTAAGAATTTGTCATTGCCTTTGTGATGGGGTTGGAGCAATGCAGTTCCTTAGTGCTTGGGCTGCCACAGCAAGATTGAGCTCATTGACAGTTAACCCCAAGCCATGTTGGGATCGGGAAATACTGAGGCCCCGTGATCCACCATTGGTTCAACACCCACACATTGAATTCAAGAGAATAGATGATGGATCAAGCTTAACGAGGAGTCTTTGGGTAGTGAAGCCAGTTCAAAAGTGTTATCGTGTTAGCCGAGAGTACCAAGCCCATTTGAAGAGGTTGGTGCAGTCATCAGTTGGTAATTTCTCATGCACCACCTTTGATGCAATGGCAGCTCATGTATGGAGATCATGGGTCAAGGCACTAGATGTTAGGCCTCTTGATTACGAGTTGAGGCTAACATTTTCGGTGAATGGCAGATCAAGGCTTACAAATCCACCACTGAAACAAGGCTTCTATGGGAATGCAGTATGTGTGGCATGTGCCACTAGCACTGTCTCAGGCCTCGTCAATGGGCCTCTTTCGGACACAACACTTTTGGTTCGAAAGGCAAGGCTTTCAGTCTCCGAGGCATATTTGAGATCCACAATTGATTATATCCAACTACATAGGCCTACCAGGCTAGAATTTGGTGGGAAGCTCACAATAACCCAATGGACCAGATTCTCAATGTACGAAACTGCGGATTTTGGTTGGGGCAGACCCATTTACGCAGGCCCAATTGATCTGACACCCACCCCACAGGTTTGTGTTTTCTTGCCACAGGGAGGGGATGATGATTCTGATTCTGATGGAACCATGCTCGTCTGCATTTGCTTGCCGGAGGCTGCTTGCCATAGATTCAGAGACCTTTTCTGCCTCTTCGATTCAGACTATCAATTGCCTTGTTAAAATGTCAGCTACTTCGTCGCAGCATCAAACCGCTTTCTATCTAAACTTTTCAGATCAAGCAACTAACATTTGCTTTTACCCAAACTTGAAATGTACCTTTCCTAAAATTGCAATAAACAATACCTCTTTTTTCCTTTACTCGCGAATTGATATATATTTAGTAGGGCGAATGCAAAATCTTCATCAAAGCAATTCAATATTTTGAAAGAAAAATACATACACTAGGTTAATAAAAGAGAGGAGAACTAACTTGACTAGCTGGTTATAGTGAGAGGGTTGGCAGCAGAGCCTATCCAGGATTTGGACGTTACAGTGCCAAGTTGGTCAATTTGATCAAATTTAGTCTTCGGTTTGGGTTATTTATCATTTCGATTTATACAGACAAAATTCGATCAAACGAAAAAATTTATGAGTACTTGATGCAAAGCATAAAACTTCTACTAATATTACTAATATCATAAATATATATCATTCATTCATCATGGTCCACAACGAGTTTTCATATTTTGAAAATGGTCAATAATAGCAAGTTTGGAGGAATGGGTTTTGTTTTACCGGAGAGAGATTGAGAAAAGATCTTAAAAAGAAGGTTTATACCTTTCTACTCCATCAGTTTCAATTTATGTGAACTCATTTAACTGAACACGGAGTTTAAGAAAAAGAAAAGACTTTTGAACTTGTGGTGTAAAATGAGGCACATATATTTTGAGTGGCTATAAATCATTGCATAAAGGTAAATTATTATGTGAACTCATTTAACTGAACACGGAGTTTAAGAAAAAGAAAAGACTTTTGAACTTGTGGTGTAAAATGAGGCACATATATTTTGAATGGCTATAAATCATTGCATAAAGGTAAATTATTTTCAAATAAAGAAAGAGATCATTCTATTTTGCATGAACTAAAAAGGAAATAGGTTCCTATAAATTGAAACGGATGGAATATTATTTAATTCTAAGAAAATACTACTAAAAAAATATTTTTACTATTGTTTTATCCTATTAGTTTCTACTCAAGTAAACAAACAAAGAAGACATCATTTAAAAAAGAAGAGTGTCAACTATAATATGCTTGTCAATGTACTCTATAACACACTCATTCACGCATTATCACATGCGGAGGATAAACCCTATTGGAATAAAACATCCAATGGAATTTTTCTACATCTTCCGCTTCCAAACACATTTTAAGTCATACTCATTCCTTGAACAAAATTTCCCCACTCTTGGCTTTGGAATATAACTTGCAGAGGCGGCATTTCCATAAAGTAATTAAAGTAACCGTTTTAGGCCTCATACTTGTGAAGTCCTCATTTTTTGTTACACCTAATAGACTATGTATAAGTTTAAAAAAGAGTTTGTAAAGTAAAAAAGTTTGATTTCTTTCTTTAACAAATATAGAGAAGAATCATTTGCAACTGCGATGATTCTACCAAGGAAATTGCACTTAAAATGAATATCGAACCCGAATTTCGTAAGAAACATGTGATATATAGGAAGTAACAATGTGATGCGAATGTTGATAAAGAAATCTCAAAATCTTTCGAAGAGTCCTTTAGAGTTGATTACTTTTATACATAATACACAAGGCTATTTTTTCACTTCAAAATAGATTTGAACAATTCAAAGCATATGAAAATATTTTTGGTTTTCTATTTTGCAGTAAAAACTAAGATCACTAGATGTTGAAAATTTGAAAAAATATTACCTTAATCTTGAATGTTCCTTAAAGCATAATAATCAATTCGATATTGATGGTTTAGATTTAATTTCGGAATTAAAAGTATTAAGAAAATAGTACAATTAGAAGATAATAGTTTAATTGATACAGTTAACCAAATAAAAAGATAGAATTCTTTTCCAAATGCCTAAATTGCTTATGAAATAATGTTCATAACTCATGTTATTGTTGCTTCAGCGGAAAGAAGTTTTCAAATTTAAAATTGATAAAATCTTACATAAGAACAACAATGTCGCAAGAAAAGTTAAATGGATTAGCTATATTGTCAATTGAGAAATACTTATTAGGAGTTACTGATTATAAGAAAATTATTAATAAATTTGTGTCTAAGAAAAGATTAAAAAAAATAAACTTCAAATAAATAATTAAGAAAATTATAAAGTTAAAACCCCTCCTAAAATTTGGCTTTAGGCGACAAAATTCGTCTGTCCGCACCTGATAACATCCTTACCAAAAATTAAATACTTCCTTTGGTTACTACTACATGCATGGTAAATTACCCACAGCCGCACTACTCTTCTACAGAAAAATTTCTCCCAATGCTACTTGTAAAATATGCCACCGCCCCAACGAAGACATCCGACACCTCTTCCTTCATTGCAAACCTGCCTCTGCCTTTTGGCAACATGTCAACATAATCAACCCATCCTCCAATTTTCCAGACAGGCTCCACAATTTATGTACCTCTAATAATTCCTTTAACGTTAACTTCTACTATCAAAATACCTTCGTATATACTAACTCCTATCTATCGCAAATTTGATTGACTCGAAATAACAATGTCTTTGCCACGACCCGAAATCCTAATTTCGATATCATGATGGTGCCAAACATCTACTTGCTAGGCAAGCCAACGTAAAACAGAAAATTAACTGATTTTAACAATTGAAAACAAAATATTACTAATGATAACGATCCAAACAAACCTACTCTGCCAACCCCGGTCCATGTCTTCGTCTATACAGGAGAAGGGAGCCTTCTTTGCCCGACGTGTAAGTTTGATTAACCCCCCTCGAAAGATTTGGGGGATGTATACTCGGAGCAAGAGATCGACCATGAACTGTGGCTCCTCTATATTGTTCGCAAAATTGCGGAGAATAGTCACGCTCCTACAAAAGAACGGGTGAACTTGCCCGAGGCAAATTTTATACCTCTTACAATACTCAAGGACCACCGTAGCAACGGGACCAAACGTGAAAGGATACGTGTAAACACTTAAGTATCCTTCCATGTGTGTCGTGATATCCTCGTCAGTACTGGAAACGACTATGTCCTTGCCTTCCTATTTGTAGTCCTTTCGGACAACTTTAAGTGTCTCCTCAGTAATGGAGCAAACATACCTCCGCGCTTCCTCACCCCGATCTCCTTGTGCGAAAACTTTCTCGACCTTGAAGTAGTTATCTATGGAGCGGCCGCTGGGGACTAAATCTGTACGGGGAGCTCCTGAAGCTACTACTGGAGGCACTGCCTCGATTCCTGTTGCCGAGGAAGAAGTCGTCGGTGCAGTGTTTTGAGGTACCAAATTTGAGGTCTTCGCCATTTCTATCTGAGAATATGAAGATTTGAAGACTAGATATGAAGATTTAAAAATTTGGTATGAAGATTTGAAGGTAAGGTATGAAGGTTTGAAGATGAACTGTGAGATATGAAGAACTTGTTATGAAGATTTGAAGGATTGATGAACAGATGAAGATATGAAAAACTCGAGGGTAACTTAAGGAAATTTGAAGCAAGAAAGTAAAAAAGTGAAAATAGGAAACCAGAACTCTTATAGGAAAAGACTAATAATTGCGAGACGTTTCGAATTCGGTAACTACCGGGAGTGTTCAACCGACGGCTGACACGTGTCCAAAATCAGAGTGACATGACTGATGGGACATTTCGGTTCGTCATCTTGCTCATGATGTACGAGAGAAGGAATAGGGGTCAATCAGTCACTTCTCGTCGCTCGTATAGTCTACTATCTGAGAAGTGAGGGGACTATCTGTATACGGGTAAAATTGGAGATAGAATTACTTCCAATTTCCCGTTGTGGAATGACAAACGACGTTACTTGTTATTGGATCGAGTGAGACCAAAGGTACCCATAGATTGGAACCAGGGACGGAAGAACGATACAACGGGCCTAGGGCGTGGGCGAACCAGAAAGAATCAAGCTCGAGTGAGATGAATAATCGAGGATAAAGGAAAGACGGTTAAAAGAGACAAAAAGGGGAGCCAAAATATCCGTCATTAGCTAGATATTGTTGCGTGGATCACACTCGGAATTGGCTACATATCATATTTTCATGGGAGAAAGGGAAAAACAGGCTGTTACCTTATTTAAACTTGTGTTAGGGTTAAAACTCCTCTACTATATAAAGAAAAGGATATCTCCCCCTCCCCCCCCCTTTTTTACACCGTTTGGGCACACATATCAAGGCAGTAAAAATTACTTTAGCTTTTAGCAATTGTTTAAGTGTTCTTCAGTTGTACACTCGTTTAGTTGGATCTAAGTTCTATCTCAAGGACTCAATTGAAACTGATCATTAGCATTTAAGCCTAACGCAAGGCTTAATTACTTCGCCACATTGGTTTTAGGGGTGTCAACGGTTCGGTTCGGCCGGTTATTTTATAAATTTGTACCATACCAATTTTTTGGTTACTCTATTATGTATAACCAAAATTAGACTTTTCAAAAACCGTCTCAATATATCGGTTTCTCTTCGATATCGGTACAGTTCGGTTAATTTTCGGTAATTATTTTAAATGTCATGTAAAAGTCACTAGTAGAAATAGAATGCAATAATACGCGTACTTTTATAGGACTTAACAAAACTCTCTAGATATTTTTACAGTTTAAAAGGTGATGCATTAAAAAAATATGAAAGATGGCTAGAGTATATATCCATCAACTATTCTACAACATCATAAAAGAAACCAAGCAAATACAAAAAAAAAAAAAAATTAATCGCACGAGTGGAAAGATATTAACCAAGTTGAGATTCAAGAATAATGTCAATAGAAGATTAAACATTCAAAAATATAAATCTAAATCGTACGAAAGGAAACATATTCAATACATTGTAGTTTGCTACACATAATCACTACAATACCTTGTGTCTTGCTAGTGAATATGCTGGAAATAATCTATTAGTTTCAATAGAAGTAGCATAATAGGTTTGGGAATTAGGATTTTGAGTTTAATTACTTGTTGGCTTGTAACTGTTTCATAATTCCAAGGCCCAAAAAAAAATTAATGCATTATTATTTTTAAACTTAATATATAAATAGATTTTTCACACTGTAAATTTATTCGGCACGGTTAGGTATTTTTTCAGTTTATTTTCATAAAATAAAAAGCCTACCC